AGCGTTGTTCCTTGTTAATCGAGGCTCCTCATGGTCATTATATATATCTACAATTCAGATCATTTCATCTTGAATCTAGTAGTAGCTGTGGATATGACTACGTCGAAGTTTACGATGGAAACGCAGCATGGAGCTCCAAGATTACAAGAGCATGCGGTCAGCGGCACCAGGCGCCATGTGAGATCTACAGCAGCGGAAGGTTTCTTTATGTGAAATTCCGTTCAGATGGCAGTGTCCAGTATTCTGGCTTTTCTGCTTACTATTATACTTTGTCAAAGAGTAAGAGAATTACTTACCTTTAACAAATTGACGTCAGTTTACATGCGTCTGTGAAAGTGGCTGTCCACTCGGCTATCGCCTCGTGGATCCGCAGACTACTTTGAAAATTTTATGACGAAATTCATTGTCAATAACAGGACAGACGCATGAAAAACTGACGTCAGTATGTTTTTCACGATAACAAATTGTCAGATTGTCCGCTCTCGCTCGTTGTCGCATCGCATAAATTATAATTTCATGTCCTGTCCGCTTATTGACAATGAAAATTAGCCAATGGGCGCACGAGAATTTCTGCAAGTATCATAAAATACCTTTTTGACAAAGCACTTATTTTAAAATCAATCAGTTAAACTGACGTTGGTTACGATCGCGTAAGATGAACTACACTTAAGAGAAGAATATTCCCTTGTCTGTGTTGTAGGGGTTGACGCATTTAGTCGGTATAATTTCGAGCATAATAGAGTAGGTTTCGACTCTTCAGGCATTCAGTTAGTTAAGGGGTAGCGCCAAAAATGGCGAACGAAAAACTAAAGGAGAAGCGCTGCGCGGGAAGGTTCCTCACACCAAGCCGTTCAGCCGTTTTTTTCGCGCTTCGTTCCAACTAACTGAATGTCTGGAAGAGTCTAGTATAGTTGGAGCATCGAGCATGATGCCATCATAATAGTTCCATTTTCCAGCAAGATAGAAACATTTTTGCGAGAAAAAAACAACAACGCGATTTTCGCAAATTTGGTAAAATTCGCCGTTGAGGGCCCTCCTCGAACCACATTTCCACTTGTCTGACAAAAATCTCGCAATTTTCGTAACTACTTGCATTTCTAGACATATCTCATTTTAGCTACCAGCGTTCCTTTATTCAGCAAAAATTGTTAAATTGAATTGAATCCATTTGAAATTGCTATTAAGTTCATTTGCCGTGACTTGTTCCCAGCGCAATTTCATGCAATCCTAGCTTATGATAAGCACGGTTTATCATGCTATTCCTGCAGGTTTTTTTTGTGTTTTATCCATCATGGCGAGAAATGGGGTGAGGAAGGTTTGGCAAATTTGTTGCGGGATAATTCCGATAGCTAGAGTCGAGCACAATTAGGAGTACACTAGTCTGTTTTTCTGGGGAACATAATGTGCCATCCCCTACTGTGCTGTTAAATAATTACACCGCATTGCTGTACGCAATGTTTGACGTTATTCCCGCGCGCAAGTGTTGCTAAGGTTGAAAGCGCTCACAGAAAATTTAGAAGTTTATCAAGAATTGATAATACGTAGAGTTACAAGACTTTCTTCAAAACTTACTTATTTAAAATGAAATAAGAATATTGTTGTAGGAGATTGAATGTTAGGAAAAATGGACCAGACTGAAATTGGTTTATAACATGACTTTAAACTAAAGATAAATAAAATACGTTGACGGCGGCTAGGTTCAAATGAATATAAATCTGTTAACTCGCAGGTCAAAACGTCCAGCAAGTAATGAGTCCAATCGTAAAATCGTCATGCAGTTTTGCCACGTCTTCACCGTTGATATCTTCCACGCCCGGTAAGTAAATACGTTTTATATTCAGAAACGTAACTTTGTTTGGGCTACACGTGGTCACATAGCAAGTTTGTTTTTCATTTTTTTCTAGTCAATTTTCGGCGAGATGCAAACTTGCTGGAAGTAAAATTCTATCAATAATAGCCTACTCATTGAATAATTCTGTCCCATTTGTCAAGTTTCCGGAGCTTGAAAACTAAGTCAATTTCTCTGTCAGTTTCAGTTATATGGTAGGAATATAGGCTATATATATTTTTTAAATTAAAATGATATGAACAAAGAGCTAACAGATTCATGTGTATTTTGGTTGCTTCAGTCATGCTTTCAAGTCCACCTGTCACTGATTTGTCACCAACACCAGGTATTTAGTTGTTGTTGTTGTTGTTGTTATTGTTGTTGGTACTGTTGTTGCTGTTGTCGTTGTTGTTGTAGTTGCTGTTGGTGTTTAAGGAGGACAGTCATGATGATGTTGCTTTCCCGTTATGTCATTTTGTGCGATGAAATAGAGACAATTAGGCGAATGAAAATACTCGAAATACAATTACACGTACCGTAATAGCAGTATTTAGTATTTACAATATAGAATAGAGAATAGAGAATAGAGAATAGAGAATAGAGAATAGAGAATAGAGAATAGAGAATAGAGAATAGAGAATAGGGAATAGGG